CCCCAATACTAAATCACGAGCCCGGGCTCGTAATTTAGTATTGGGGGAATTTCTATTTCAAAGATTTCAAAGATTTCAAAGATTTCAAAGGTTGCAAAAGGTTTGGGAAACTTCCCGGGAGTTTCCCCCGCCTTTTGCAACCTTTGAAATCTTTGAAATAGAAATTCCCCCAATACTAAATTACGAGCCCGGGCTTCCACCCAATACTAAATTACGAGCCCGGGCTTCCCCCCAATACTAAATCACGAGCCCGGCCCTTCCCCCCAATACTAAATCACGAGCCCGGGCTTCCCCCCAATACTAAATCACGAGCTTGGCCTCGTAATTTAGTATTGGGGGAATTTCTATTTCAAAGATTTCAAAGATTTCAAAGATTTCAAAGGTTGCAAAAGGTTTGGGAAACTTCCCGGGAGTTTCCCCCGCCTTTTGCAACCTTTGAAATCTTTGAAATCTTTGAAATACTCCCAATACTAAATTACGAGCCCGGGCTTCCCCCCAATACTAAATTACGAGCCCGGGCTTCCCCCCAATACTAAATCACGAGCCCAGCCCTTCCCCCCAATACCAAATCACGAGCCCGGGCTTCCCCCCAGTATTAAATCACCAGCCCGGCCCTCCCCCCAATACTAAATCACGAGCCCGGGCTCGTTATTTAGTATTGGGGGAATTTCTATTTCAAAGATTTCAAAGATCTCAAAGATTTCAAAGGTTGCAAAAGGTTTGGGAAACTTCCCGGGAGTTTCCCCCGCCTTTTGCAACCTTTGAAATCTTTGAAATCTTTGAAATAGAAATTCCCCCAATACTAAATTACGAGCCCGGCCTTCCCCCCAATACTAAATTACGAGCCCGGGCTTCCCCCCAATACTAAATCACGAGCCCGGGCTTCCTCCCAATACTAAATCACGAGCCCGGCCCTCCCCCAATACTAAATCACGTGCCCGCGCTTCCCCCCAATACTAAATCACGAGCCCGGGCTTCTCCCCAATACTTACTAAATCACGAGCCCGAGCTTCCCCCCAATACTAAATCACGAGCCCGGGCCTCCCCCCAATACTAAATCACTAGCCCGTATTTCATATTTTGAAATCTAAAATCGGGTGATTTTCTATTTTCTATTTTGAAATCTAAAATCGGGTGATTTTCTATTTTGAAATCTAAAATCGGGGGTTTTTCTGTTTTGAAATCTAAAATCAGGGGATTTTCTATTTTGAAATCTAAACTCGGACGTTTTCTAGTTTGACATCTAAAATCGGGGGATGTTCTATTTTGAAATCCAAAATCCTTCTATTTGAAAATTTCAAACAGGCGGTAGTTTTCCCCTGTGTGACAGGGTAGTTTGCCTTCGCGACGCCCGGTGTCACAGGGTGGTTCGACTTCGCGTCGCCCGGCGTGACAGGGTGGTTCGACTTCGCGTCGCCCGGCGTGACAGGGTGGTTCGACTTCGCGTCGCCCGGCGTGACAGGGTGGTAGTTCTTCGCGTCGCCCGGTGTGACAGGGTGGAAGTTCTTCGCGTCGCCCGGCGAGACAGGGTGGTTTTCCTGCGCGACGCCCGGTGTCACAGGGCCGTTGAACTTTGCGTCGCCCGGCGTAACAGGGTGCTTTGCCTTCGCATCGCCCGGTGTCACAGGGTGCTTTTCCTTCGCGACGCCCGGTGTCACAGGGTGCATGGTTCGACTTCGCGTCGCCCGACAGAACAGGGTGCTGTTCCTTCGCGACGCCCGGTGTGACAGGGCGCTTTTCCTTCGCAACGCCCGGCTTCACAGGGCGGTTCGACTTTGCGTCGCCCGGCGTGACAGGGTGGTAGTTCTTCGCGTCGCCCGGTGTGACAGGGTGAAAGTTCTTCGCGTCGCCCGGCGTGACAGGGTGGTTTTCCTTCGCGACGCCCCGCGTAACAGGGCGCTTTTCCTTCGCGACGCCCGGTGTGACAGGGTGCTTTACCTTCGCGCCGCCCGGTGTCACAGGGTGGTTCGACTTGACAGGGTGGTAGTTCTTCGCGTCGCCCGGTGTGACAGGGTGAAAGTTCTTCGCGTCGCCCGGCGTGACAGGGTGGTTTTCCTTCGCGACGCCCGGCGAGACAGGGTGCATTGACTTCGCGTCGCCCGGTGGGGCAGGGTGGTTTTCCTTCGCGACGCCCGGTGTCACAGGGTGGTTCGACTTCGCGTCGCCCGTCGTAACAGAGCGCTTTTCCTTCGCGACGCCCGGTGTGACAGGGTGCTTTTCCTTCGCGCCGCCCGGTGTCACAGGGTGGTTCGACTTCGCGTCGCCCGGTGTCACAGGGTGGTTCGACTTCGCGTCGCCCGTCGTAACAGGGCGCTTTTCCTTCGCGACGCCCGGTGTGACAGGGTGCTTTTCCTTCGCGCCGCCCGGTGTCACAGGGTGGTTCGACTTCGCGTCGCCCGGCGTGACAGGGTGCTAGTTCTTCGCGTCGCCCGGTGTGACAGGGTGAAAGTTCTTCGCGTCGCCCAGCGTGACAGGATTGTTTCCCTTCGCGACGCCCGGTGTCACAGGGTAGTTCGACCTCGCGCAGCCCGGCGTCGCAGGGCCGCTGAACTTCGCAGGTGAGTTTTCCCTCGCTTGCCTGCGTGTAATTAAGCAATCTGTTCGCACGAATTCACACAACCTTCGGATTCAGATGCATCCAGTCGTGGAACACGACGATTTCAAATTCCCTACGAATCAGAAAAATCTTTGGTGCCCAGAGAAAAAATTGATTGCGCGTGTGAGCCATTAGAATGTAGCTGCAGAAAGCCTTTGTGTCAGCGTCCGCTAGCTGATAAGGCCAACTGATCCTGCCGAACAGCCTTTTAGTATTACCTTAATTGACGGTGCAGCCTTTTCGGTTCTGAGCCTATTGCCTTCCTACTTTTGCGGTCCAGCTCACGCGTAAGGCGACTCGGAAAGACAGATCGCAAGGTAACACTGAGTGCTGAAGTTCTGCTTCCTGAGGACCTTTGCTTGCGAACTTCCAACAGGCAGGCCGTCGCGGAACATCAGACTTCGTCTGCATACTTCCTCTCTGTGTGTCCAGGAGTCATCCTATTGTGTTGTTCTTGCGTCATGGATATCCTGCACGGACGGGGCGCCTTCAAGTGTCTCCCGGCTCTGACCCGCATGGTGGTGAGAGATGTTTTGTTCGTTTGCGTGGAATGTTGCTTTTCCCCAGGCTTGCTCGATTCGTTGGACCTCGGTGGTGTCAGTCTCAGCTCTCAAGGCAGCAACTCAGACCCTAGGACTAGGACGATTCACAAACTGAGGTCACTACGGACCTGTCATCCTTCACAAGAACGTGCAGCATGTTCCAAACGGACTTCTCAACTGGAGTCCCTTGTACGCACTTTCAGCGCGTCCTTGCGATTCGCAGCACGCACTGACGCATCAGGTTTCCTCTCCAAAGTCATCGTCTGGTGGCCTCGCCCGGCCATCTTGAAAGAGGATGCTGTTGCGACAATGGATCCTCTTCGCACAGTGGAGAATTTCCACATGTGGGCCGTAAACCGCCCGTTCAATGTCAAGTCAGTGCCGGCACTGCAGACTTATGGGCGTAGGCAGAAGCCACTGGTCTTGACGCCGGCCTTTGGAGGCCGCAATCGCAAAGGCGAGCCCGTCCTGGCTAATCCAGCCGCGAAGCCCGTCGTGTGGAAGATGGGCTTGGGGCCGGGGGAGAAGGACGGCGATGATGGCGATGTGGGGTATTACAGGCGACCAGACAATCTGCGCTGCAACCGACGGAAGAACAACGGGCCGCGCAAGGGCAAGCAGCTCGCCACCCCCGCGTATCTCGGATTTCGGCACACAAATGCATTTCCCATTGAATGAGACCAGTTGCAGCATAATTTCAGCGCTTTTGAGGTACCGTCCTCGAGTTGCGAATGAGGAAGTTCCGCGTGCGCGCCATGACAGCACCATATCGTACGATTCATTGCGCAGGGCGATGAGTGTCCGTGATATGAATTGGCACCCAGGAAAGAGAAAAAGCCAGTCATGACCCTTACAGAGCTCGCTGCAACCATGCGGAGCGCTTTCAGCTTCTCCCCCACGGCTTCAGCATCTAGTGACACTGGAGGCGAGCTGCAGTGCGTGCTGACTTGCAACATATACGGTGTCATACATTTTCGGCGGAAATGTAGCTGGAGGGTTTTCAAGTGTGTGTGTGTGTGTGCTGAGGCATCGTTGGTGTCTCCAAGCTAGCAACGGAGTACAGATGCTCGATACGCATGTGCATCCCTGTCACGTCAGAATCTCTTGATGTGAGCAGTAGCTGACGGTTAAGATGTCTCTTTGGAAGAGACTAGTCTTTCGAGGAAGCCTGGATGGTTTTCGTGCTGTGCTGCCACGCGGCCGGAAGCAGAAGGATACAGTCTGGCAAAGCACTGCGGGCGTCAAGCTGCCGCAACCAACAGTGAGCAGGAGCATCGTTTTTTGTCTATAGATCGTGATCTTGCGAATCTTGACACAGCGTCACATCCTGCAGGAAATCTGGCCCAAAAAAGATTCGCCACGTCATCCCGGTTACTTTGACGAGGTCGGAGTCTGCAACCGATCAACTACCTCTTGTCTGTGTTTTTTGGAATTGTCGTCCGCACCGTTTGATGATGCACAGGCAGGGGCAGATTGTTCACCGTCTTTTGTTCATGAGCCAGAAGCTGGTCCGTGCGTGCAAGACGCAGAGCTCCTCTATGATGCCGCACAGCCAAGGCGTTGTTTCTGACACAAAAGAAGAAACAAATAAACGCGACATGCTGTATGCTCGCAAAATATTTTCCTTGCCAGGCCAGAAGCAACTCTTCAAGGAGTGCTGCCTGGTGGACTCCTTCCGTGCGATGGGACTTAAAGTTCCCTACTCGGGGAATGGTCCTTTTTTTGTTCTTGAGGGCGGGCGAGCCATGATCGCTTCGCTTGGGCACCTTGGCACGCATTGGTTGCACTGGGCTTTGCATCAGCTTCACGATTTGAAAGGACCGACTATGTAATTAAGTCCGAGAATGTGTCGCGACACCGAGATACGACATCGAGCCCGCGGACACCATTAGCGAGCCGGGAAGGTATATCCTGCACCTGTCCAAGCAGAAGCATTTCGTGGGTGTCCGTGTGTTTGAGGATGGTTCGGCTTCCCTCAGCAGAACACACCGTCCCCAAGACAACCTAACAGTCGATCCGGCAAAATTGCGTCTGGAGGCTGTCGACATCTTTTGCCTTGTAAGAACTTCAGGTTCGACAGAGGTGCGGGGTGGGCCGGTGAGTACTTCAGCTGACGTCTGCGGAGGAAAACACATGGAGATGTCAGCGTTGGAATGCATCGAGACCATGACCCGAATGGACATTGTCACCGCCAACAGTGTGGAGATCATGCAGGGCACGCCAGATCCTATCGAGATCACGGCACCCGTTCCAGTGCGACCAGCGCTCGCTTTCATTCAGGAGGACGACTCCAGTGCAGACGAAGGCTTCTGGGATGCTAGACCCGACTGGTATGAGCGAGCACTTGTCGCTGCCCAAGCCAGAGAAGCCGAGGTTTTATCCGATAGGACTTCAGATGAGATGGACGAGGCAGGAAGTTCTTCGGATGGCCTCGATCGTTGCGGCGGCTCCTTTCCGCCAGAGATCCTCAACGAGATTGCCCAATGTTTCTTTTCCATGCAGTACTCGGAGTCCTTGGCGTGCGTGAACCGCTCCTTTCGATCTGCGACACAAGACTCGTCTATGTGGCGCAACAAGCTTTTGCCTTTGGAGGCGAATGAATTCCACAGCCGTGCTGCGGTAACCGCTGTGAGCCCAATGTTAAGGGACGCCCGTGCCTTCACGATCAAAGTCAGTCAGGTTCCTCTGTTCGAAGACCTTCCACGCAATGCTTTTGTGAGCTGGAAGGCGGTCCAGGTCGGACCGCACACTCTGCATCACCGCTTCGGACTCGGCTTTCAGTCAGACTCGCCCTTGTTGGGGTGCGCTGTGTTCGATCTGCGACTGCCTCGTTCAGCTGCGGGTATGTACATCGGAGTTCGAGAGTGGCAAGGAGGCGAACGCCGCACTTACTGCAGGGTCGACAATCTCTTTCGGGAGGACATCACGTGGTCCTTCGGGTTGAACAATGAATCCACACGACCACATTTTGGACGACGGCAGCACCGACTTGTCCCAGACGAATTCAGTCGCTTTGTGCTTCGTTGGTCGGAGTCCGGTCTCGTCGTGCATTTGAACGGTGAAGGTGTCTGCAACTTTCATTCTCGGAGCGACACCATTCGAGGAGTCGGGGCTCCGGCACTGGCGAGACTCGCTGTGTGGGTGTACTTTGGCCGTGATGTCGGCACCGAAGAGCTTGCAATTCTCAGACCTGTGCCGTCAGCGATCCACAGCGAGGCTCGCCTCGCCTGCGCTTTTTGCCTGACGTCTGGTTTTGTTTCGCAGCGTCGATGGGCCGCTTGTCCTGGATGCTACACCTGGATTTGCTACGAGCACAAGGTCGAGTCGCCGACCCGGATGTGCAGCAGATGCACCTTGCAGCTGCAGGATTACTGCGGAGGAAGCAGCGAGGCGAGTCACAGGTCCAGGCATTTCGCCGACGCGAACGACTTCCTCCGAGCTTTGCAGAGCGGAGAATCAGATGGCAACGACACCAAGTCTCATCTTGTCATTCGTGAAGTTCTGAATGCTCACATGGCCTGCGTACGTGAACTCCCTGAGGCCGTCTCCCTGCTTCCAGATCCCCGGGAGCGTGAGGTCATGAGCAAGCGACGCTGGGAAAGACTTCTCCATAGAGCCAGAACAATTTTGGATCTGCTGGAACAACACAGGCACAAGCTTCTCTATCGCTTCTTGCACGCAGAGTCTGAGAAGCTCGGAGCAGACCACCTCGACTTCGTAGCAGACCTGGTCGATCCCGATGAGGTTGGTGCAGTTGCGTCGCAGTGGCGGCAGGAAGTATGCGGACTTGCAGTCCGACTCTTGCACGAGCTGTTTGCTCACGAGAGGGAACGAGCCCGAGCTCAACAAGATGTGGCAGGCGGAGCATCGAGCACCGTCCTGGAAGCCGGGTGGCCAAGACCGCTGCCGAGCATGCTTCAGAGTGTTCTTGAAATTGAACAGCCCAACGACCCTTGCTTCTACATGTCCGCCGATCCAGAGAACGAGAGCACGGATGATCTTCCTGGGTGTCAAGAGTTGGCACACAGGCATGCTCATCCTCTGGACAAACGTCTGCACTTCAAGTCCGATGGGCATCAGTACTTTTTCGACGGTCGTGTCGTCAGCGTGAGTGTGACTGAGCGCAAAACATATTCTTGTGAGTGCGTGTGTCGTACCTTTGGCAAAAATGCATATGCAGTAAATGTGGAATGTGCGAAGTCTAACAGCTCAGGTTACTGGTTTCATTCACCAATTCATGGAAGACTTCGACGCTGACGTTGCCATCGAAAAAATGCAATTTGGGTGGAGATGGCCACGAGAAGAGTACATGAAGTCGGAGCATTCGAATCCGCCGCTGGACCTCCTGGGCGCCAAGACGCTTTTGGAGGCTGTCGAACTCGACGTTGCACGACATCTCATCAGCTTCCTGGAAGAAGTCCCGCTAAACAAGAAAGCCATCTGCTCCGAGATGTGCCGTGTGCAACAGGACTTGGAATTGGTGTGGGAGAACCTGATGAGCTGCATCATGCTGTCCAACGCGGAGATAAAAGCCCTCTGGAACGAAAAGCGAGACAAAGCGGCCAGAGCTGGAACGTGGATGCATTCCATGTTCGAACATCTTTTGAATGGGCACGACGTCTTTGCGCCTCCAATGAACTTGGAGCTGGAGACAATGCTTAATTTCTTGAGCAGGTTCGAGGAAACACACTTTGTCTATCGAACGGAATGGACCATCTACGCTGAGCAGGAGGACATAGCTGGTTCTATCGACCTGGTCTTGAAGAACAAATGCGACGGCAGTGTGATCTTGGTGGACTGGAAGCGCAGCGAAAAATTGCCGGACAAATACCGATCACCAAATGCCATGAAACCACCGTTGCAGTACTTGATGGACTGTCAAGGTGACGCCTACAAGGTGCAGCTGAGCGTCTACCGCTGGATTCTGGAGAAGTATTACGGCGAACGCGTGCAATCTTGCTTCGTTTGTTGCACTCACCCCAACTTTCACCCGGACGGCTTCGTCCACGAGGTCGAGAGAAGCGATGTGGAGATTGAACCCCTGATGTTCCCTCGGCGGTGCCAGATACAATCTGCAGCTATGGGCAGCGCCATTCCTCCCACAGAAGCTTTCGACGTGCATCTTCCCGAGACCCACCTCACAATGGTCCTCAACGAGCAAGACGCGCAGGCATGCGCAGCCCCAGAGGAATCGTTGCAGCTGGAAGACATCCATTCGGTGACCAAGAAGCGGCGCCTCACGCAGCAAGCGCAAGGAACTCGCCAACGCTTCCACGATTTACTCCAAGCAGCCGCAACAGCTGGCGCCGCTTTCGTCTCTGCGTTGCCTGAGCATCGACCGGAGGAAGCACGGAGAACGATTTTGCAGCAGAGTGACTTCCTCATGAAGTACGTCCAGGGATCTCATCCCGACTGGCCAAAAGACTTTGTTCGCCTCGTCGCGGCTGCGTTGTCGATCTACCGGACTCGATACTCGGACCTCTTCATTCGAGACACGGTAGCCTTGCTCTGGCAAATGGAAGGAGAAGATCATTTGCGCGTGCACGACGCCATTTGCTACCTTTACCACGATCACGGCGCATTCGAGGCACTTTCCGGTGTACCTCCAGAATCCACGTTTGCCAGAATTAAGTCCTTCCTTCTGGCGCTGGAGGGCATTTTCCGATTGTTGGCAGACAGCACCGCCCGCAATGATGCAAGTGTCGTTGCGGCCATCAGCAATCTTCTGCAGCAGTACAACAGTGTCAGGGAATTCATCACCGCGGCGATGGACACATCCTCACTGACGCCAGCGAGCAGAGGATTCGGAGGCCGAAGACGTCCGCAGCCTGTGGATGAGGGTGGAGCTGGTCCTCCGCAAGGCGGCTGGCCTGGAACTGTTGCAGACATGATCGCCAGGATTTCCGGACCCATGCAAAAGGATCTCCTGGACGAGAGATCATTGTTTCGCTACCTCATCGCCTGGTGCGAGACACCTTCTCGTCGTCGAGCTGGTGTTGCCTATGCAGACACGAGCTTACTGTACGACGTTTCTCCCGGCAGATTCTGCACTTTCGTGGAACCCTCCCCAGACAATGACATCTACGTGCGGATTCCTCATAATCTGCGGGACCCTGTGCTGGAGGACGCCAAGGAAGCGCTGCAGAAATTTTACTCGCAGACCTTTTGGTGCAACGAGGACTTTTTCAAGTGCTGCCTCGCGGCCATCGCCCTCGCTAAGCGGGGCGAAAACATCGACCGCTGCTTCATTGGGGAAAGCGGAGGCGGTACTGGACAAGGTCTTTACAGCCAGCACCTTGCGGCCGTGTACAAGCATAATCATGCTTTCATTGACTCTAGCTTGTGGCACAACGAAGACGAGCTCAGGAAACAGCTCGAACTGTTCGCAGGTGCATGGATCCTGACCGCCCAGGAGAAGCCGGACAGTCATCGAAAATTCCGGGAGGACTTATACAAGAAGCTAGTGTCAGGAGACGACCTTGCCGCGAGACGACCCTACGGGTATTTCACTCGCATGCTTCGAGTGGTGGGCTGGAAGCGTGTCGAAACGAATGACCTCTTGGAATTCAAGAACGTCTCGGAAGAAAACTTCAACTCTATTTTTCGCCGCAGTCTCGTGTGGGTGGCGAAGGCTCTCTTTCTCGATGAGGAGTACATCAAGAAACACTATCCTGATGCTTCCTAAGACGGTATTTTTCCGAAGGATCCTACACTGCGCGCACGTCTGGTGTCCGGTCCTTGCATTCTTGCATCTCTACATTTTCAGCTGGGTTTCGAAGTGCAACACTCAAGACAGATGTCCCGCGAAATCATCGAAAATTTTGCCTCGGAAGGCCTGACAGAGAGGAAAATTCGTCGAGCCTGTGGCCTGCCGGAACGAGCAGATTCTCTTAAACCAGCTGTTCTTGCCGCTGCAGAAACAGCTCTGCAGGCAGTGCAGGCAAATACGAACCCACCGCACCAGACAAATCCAGACGACACATCAAAAGAATCAAAAGACAGTGAAGAGAGAAGCCTGGTTGACCAACTCGTCTCGTGGGGCATGAGCCAACAGCCTGCAAAGGAAAAAAAAGTTTACCCTTCAGAGCAAGTTTACAGAGGCGTGGTTCCAGAGAATCTGTCACTCCAAGTTTCGTGTTTCGAACAAACGCGCTGCAGACGTCTGGAAAAATTTGGTGGACACGAAGCATCTCATCCAGACGCGCGGCTACGGAAGCTCCACGCAGTACCTGCCAAAGGTTTTTGTCGAGAGAGACGTGAACGTGCTCGGAGACTTGAGTGCTCCTGATGCAGAGCGTCCGCTCTATCTTCAAGAAAGCATGGATGCCCGCGCGCTACACGCTGCTATGTATGAGACAGGATCAAGGGAAGCCAATGTGGAGATCTTGCTGCAATTCCATGACAGCGTGTTGCTGCGGCTGAAAGGCAAGAGGGGCCGACGGTCTGTCGAGGAAGCGAATGCTGCGGAGACGTGGAGTGCCAGCCGAGAGAACCTTGCAAAGAAAGAGTCAGCTGCTCGAGGCGTGGTCGAGCAGCTTCTGCAACAGGCATGCCCAGCAGAGCAACAAGTTGTTAGCAAAAGGCTACGGTATAAATCCAGTCAACAGGCGCCAGCAGAAGACATGTCTGCAACGAGGAATCCAATTGAGAGCATCGACTTTGTCACCGTCCAGGTCCAGTACAAGTGCAGCCTGGGAGATCTTCTTCGCACGCGACGATACGCCATTGGCTGCTCGGTTCAGAAGACGCTCGTCTGGGTTAGAATCTAATGTGTTTTCTTGAGGCACAATGGATTCGTGGAACGTGTAAATGCTGGTTTTTTTGATGAAGTAGTATGTCGGTGAAGGCTGTCACGCGCGTGGCAAAAGACGGCCGTGAGCCACACGTTTGATTTGGACATTCAGAATTGTTGCTTCAACTTGATGCTGCAGATCATGAGGAAGCTGAAGCCACAGCACGCGGCCTGGCGACAAGCAGAACAAACGCTGCAGCTGTGCGCGGAGAACCGAGACAGTGTCATTCGGGAGCAGCTCAAAGTAACACATGCCGAGGGAAAGTACATCCTCAACAAGGTTTTCAACGGTGGAACCCCGCCAGACGGTCTGAGAGGCAATGCATTCATGTGGAAGCTTCAGAAAACCTCGCTGTTTTGCAGATGGGTGGCAGTTTCCGTGCTACCCGCAGTTTTCCAGAACGTCTTGGAAGATGAGGATCGTCTGAATCCGGACGCATCGACGCTTTTCTTTCTTTGGAGCGCGTGCGAAGACTTAATCCTCGAAGCCTGGCTTCAGAAGGTACAGGAATGCAAGCCTCGGCATGTGAGTCTTCACTTTGATGGCATTCGAGTGGACAAGGCTTGTCTCGCAGACGCAGAGGTGTCCAGTTTCTGCAGCGCTTGCTCCGCTCACATCAAAAGTGCCACAGGCTTTGAGGTGCAGATTCAATGCAAAACAAACCCAGATCTGCTGGAGTACGTAATGCAAGCGGGAACCGCTGCAGTGCCGGCAGATCTGGATGCAGCGCTGCTCGCGGACGGCAACTGCATTCCGTGTGCTTTGCACAGGCTCGGTTTCGAAACGCAGGTTATGCGCTTCCTCGCCGACACTGAGACCGAAAGTGCTCTTTACTTTCGTCGACGGGGTCATCGGACGTATCGCCAAGTGGCCGAAGCCCTGAACATCCAGTTGGTCGCGTCCGGCTACTTTATAGAGGACCTGAAGGAAGGTGTACGCGAGAAGAACTTACTTCACGTCACCAAGCGAGGCAGACCGCACACGGTTGGACTTCTTTTGCGAGGCGGCAAATTCATTGTGTCCGATGGTCGCTGCACTTTTGAAATGAAGCCGGAGGACTTTTGGGATGGTCTCTACTCTGCGTGCGACAGAGCGAGCGTTGTCATTTTCGGAATTCTGATGGGTCCAGCAAGTCAGGAGGAAAACCCCTTGAGGTTTCCAAACGCCTCGGAGAGAGAAAAGCTTCTAGACCTGCAAGCAGGGGCAGGCGAGCAGGAACATGCCGCGGAGTTCTTGGACGCCGTCGACGAGGTCTCCGCTCACTCCGACGATTGTCGGGAAGAGTCGGGTTCTGAGCAAGAAGAATCGATCACGAAAGTCGGCGACAATCTTCTGGAAAGCTTGCGGCGAGAGGTGGGACGGGTGCAGCGGGCCAAAGACACCTTCAAGCCCAGTGGCGACGGACGCGTCCATTGCCCTTTTTGTCCATTTCGAAGTTGGGAGAAAAAAATGCGAACCGTCTCTCGGGGCATTTGGAAAAATATCATGCAGAAAGACAGCAGTATTGCGCCAGTGGAACGAAACAGGTGAAGATCCTTTTAGGGCTACATGATCAGGACAGATTGGAGGGGAAGCCAGACATGAGAAATTACCTGGCCAGAAGTGCTGCCGTCATGCGAGCTCATGTGCGACCTCCTTTGAAGTGCACCGTGAACGACATCGACAAGCAGCTTCGAGTGGTGTTTGCGTCGGACGGTCCTCAATTGTGGAACATCGAGACAACCATATCCCGTGCAGTGAGACGAGCGCGCAACTTGTACTACACCAGAGAGTTTGCGCACAAAGTTTTTCAGCGAGCCTTGATGTGCAACGCGAAAGCATCCTGGCTTATGTCTTTCTGGTTGTTCATGCTTTGGTAGCAGCAAAGTACAGGTCGACGTGCTAGTGACAGGTGAAGAAACGCTGCGCTGGTTGTAATTCCTGAAATTGTTTTCTGAAGCGGTCCACCTCAGGTCTTTGAAATGCTCAATACCATGCGTGCAGAATTTAGTCCTGATGCACTTGGACTCTTGCCTTCTCATTCAAAAGACTGGTGGCCTGTCATCGAGGACGTTTTCATGAGCCCAAGAATAGTGGGTCTGCGAGATTCTCTACTGACGGAATGCGTATCGCACGGGGAGATGGAATGCATCAGCATCGACGCCACCATGCGTTGTTGCATGCCCATCTTGGGTCAGTCCCGCCTGAAAGCCACGGCAGAGGAGCGCGCGCAGGCTGCCTTTGCGGAGGAAGAGAGCTATCGCCGTGACGCTTGTGTGCATTTGCATTCACATTCCAAATTTGTTTTATGTTTGAAGTTCGGACGCGTGGATACATATATATATATATATATACGCTGTGCAACGAAGGTTATCACTGTGCGGGGACGCACAAACGCGGTACTTCTGATGAAGGCCTCCGCCGGGGAAGATGCGGACACGGTGTGCTTCGTCCTTTCCCAAGCCTTAACAGCAGCGGCTCTCGCCCAGATCCAATTCGTCACGGTGGACAATCCCTCTCGAAGGTACTTAAACAGCCTGAAGAGCATCTGTCCTGGTCTGCAGGGAATGGCGCTCGACACGGTTCATCTCGCCATGACCTGCGAGTATGCAACGGCGCGGCGCCGATCCCCCGCTACCAAGGCCCTGCGGCGGCTGCTCTCGAAGTTCGCTGCGGTCGACAAGGAACGCAATCCCGTTTCCTTCGGTGCTATGTTCGACGGCAACAACGCGCGCCCGGCCACCGCTGAAGAAAATCGATATCGCGGCTACATCGAGGACCTGACGATGCGTGACGAGGAGGCCCGGCGCATCATTGACAGCCTGGACTACGACAAGCCTTGGTACCTTCGCATTGAATGGATCCGGGCGCTGGCCGCGCTGGCGAACGTCTACCGGCAGGACATGCAAAGGATGTGTCCGGGTCCGAACCGTCGCATCGGCCAGCTGCTGCTGTCGGCTGCAGCACCGGAAAGGTGCGAGTGGTACTTCAATAACATTCGCGTCCGCCACAATATGCATGTCGGCAAATTGACCCTGTTCCCTGTGGGCACGACTTCGAATGAGTCTCTGCACTTCGAAGTCAATCGGTGGTTTAAAGAGACTCAGAAGTTGCACAAAGCCACTCTGGAGCTCAAGCTCGACATTCTTTCTTTGGGCAAGCTATTGTCGCACAATCGAGCTCTTTACCACGCCGGCATGCGACAAATGTCCCATGGAGAAGTCCTCGCCAGAAGCACGAGGCAAGTCCTGTGGTCGGAACAGGAATGGAAGGCTTGGTGCGACGAGCTAGACAACGCGGGCAAAGTCAAGCGTAAAGCTGATTTGCCAGTCCAGGAGGCAAGACGTTGGCAAAAAGCGAGAGTGCAGGATGCTGCGCTGAAAAAGCCGGCAAGCGCGCTGTCTCAGACAGGCCAGAAGCATAGGACACCCCACAGCCTCGAACGAAAGGACCAGTTCCTTCGAGGAGGCAAGAAAAACAAGTTCTCATGAATGTCTGTAGCAGTCAGCCGCCAATGTGCACGTCCTCTATATGTTTTGCCAAGCTTTTCTGGAGGACCTGTTTAAAGACATCTAGCAGCAAGACATGTGCAAGATTCGTTGCGAAAAGTGAACTTGCAGACCTGCAGTCTCCCGATGTGTGCATGAATTGTTATGACGAGCAACCGGCAAGTTTTTTTCTGTGTACGGGCTTGAGTCTTGTCGCACACGTGCTCCTTGCATCCAGCTGCTCTAGTAGCCCGAGGTGCATCTTTCGCAACTCACTACGTTGCTGCCTCGCAATGGAAACACTTCCCACGCCGGCGCAGCTCCTGGTGACGGAGTTTCTGGGTCTCGCATCCACAGCACTTTTGCTCTCGGCTTTGGCCAAGACAAGCAGAGCCAGGGACGTTGTCGGGAGCTGGCTGCGGCAAGTCCGGACCGTGCCCGAGGCGGCGCCGCATGAGGGCAGCGGTGAAGAGGAAGATCTCACAGACGACGAGGTTTGCATGCCTTCGCGTGCGGAATGCTCGCTGGAAGCAGCTGTGGTGGTGGGATGTCTTCGAACAGGTCGAGTCTCCTGGAATTCGAACTGCGGCGTTCTGCGTTCGCTCGAAGACATGGATATTTCTTACCCTGGCTTGATTGAAGCAGTCACGGCGGATGTTGCCTTCATGACGGCAAACGTCACCGGCTGGACGCTGCCTTGGCTTCAGCAGGCTGTTGGGTTGCCGAGTGCTGCGTATCAGATGCGTCTGGAGGACTTCCTCTCCGATGCCCTGGGTACGTCGGGTGAGTTCCTTACTGCGTGGCGGCTTCTCAACGCGGGTAGTGAAGCAGTCGAATCTGCCATTGCTTGGTTGCAGCACGGACAGTGGGAATACGCGTTCTTTCCGTCCGAAGACGGCGAAAGGCCAGCCGTGCTGATTCTTATGTTCTGCGTGAACGATATCGCAGGCTGCCTCGTTGCCGTAGATCGCGAAGTCGATCCTGCCGGTGCCTTCCTGTAGCTGGGGCTGCGCACTGCGCCCACCGAAGGGTTTTTAAAAGTCTGCCTCTGGACACGGCTGAGGTTGCTGCGGCGTTTGTACGAAAAGAAGGTTGCCTTGCTCCTTGCGGCGCGACGTGCTCACGAGCCTCCCTGGTCTGCTTTTTGCATGTGGCTATCTTCCGGTACAGTTCATCGCCTGATCTTTTTGCGCCCCACGCCTTGTACTTGACTGCCTGAGACCTCTTGGCCTACTGATAGTGTGCAGTGCACTTGCTCTCCGAGCAGCCTTGGCTTGCATAGTGTGTGTCTGCCGCAGTGCTGTGAAGTTGCTCGCCTGAGCCGCCTTGCCTTTCTTAGTGCATGCGATTACATTCCGGTACAGTTGCACGCCTGCGCCTCTCTGGCCTGCTTCTTGCATCCGGTACAGTTGCCTTCCTCAGCCTCCTTGGCCTGCTTAGTGCGTCCAGCACAGCATTAGTTGTGCATGATTCTGGCTTCAGAACAATCAGGAAAAATGATGAAATTGAAGGTTTTCGTCGAATCGCAACCAAGGAAATCTTAAAATTTGTTGTCCCGCGTGTGGGGTGGGGGGGTGGGGGGGTGGGGTGGGGTGGGGTGGGGTGGGGTGGGGTGGGGTGTTGTGGGGTGGGGTGGGGTGGGGTGGGGTAGCGTATATGTATATGTAGACATATATGTACATATATATATATATATATATATTATATTACTATGTTGTTTGTGGTGGTTCGTTCAAGTATATATATATATAGATATACAGAAAAATGCTTAACACAATATATAAAGGTCCTTCGTACATATATATATATATATTCTGTTGGGTGGAACCTTATAATATCTTCTCGGTGGCCATAATCTTTTCATAGCAGCTACTTTATGAGTGTTTTATACCAGGTTAATTAAGGAGCGTCGGGATGTAGGCATCCAAGTTAGGGTTTAGGGCCTTTAGGGTTTAGGGCCTTTAGTCTTTAGGGCCTGTAGGGTTTAGGGTTGAGGGGCTCTGGAACTCTAAGGCTGCTTGCTTGAGTCACGTGTTGGCTGCGGTTTAGGGTTTAGGGTTCAGGGTTCAGGGTTCAGGGTTTAGGGTTTAGGGTCGAATTGGAGAGCTCAACTGCTCCCGGCAGCAGCGGGCTCGGGATTAAGGCTTTGGGCCAGCCACCACGCATGGTTAGGACCCGTGTAGGAGGCTGGCGAGTAGAAGGAGGGGCCCCCTTACTATTATGTGACTAACTATAGTGAAGGGACTTATAACCTGCGTTAGGATCCTTATAACTCAATTTTGGGTCTTCATAACTCTACTTATAACTAGGGGGGGCCCTCCTTGTAGGTGAGTGCGAAGTGGTACTGGGTATTGACAGTACAGCAGACAGATGCACCAGAACAAAGATCGCGAATGAAGGTTCCATTTGGTTTGTACTTGTTTGGATTCTCATCACGATACCTTCCTAAATTCTAACCCTAAACCCTAAACCCTAAACCCTAAACCCTAAACCCTAAACCCTAAACCCTAAACCCTAAACCCTAAACCCTAAACCCTACTTGTAAGGTTTTTGCGCTCCCGAAGTTCGCCGCCCGAGAGGTAGGGGAGTGGAAGCCATGGCCTCGCAGGCTGATCCTTTGTTTCCGAAGGCCACGGGCCCTAAGCCGCTTTTCCAGCGGATGGAGCTGCAGCTCGCCCAGCAGATGCATGACGTCACCGAGCAGCTGATCTGCACTTTGGAGCTCTTTAAGTGAAAGGTTTAGGGCTTAGGCTTCAGGGTTGAGGGTTCATGTCCTCAGCCGTAACTCTCGCCCCCAGAAAAGCCCGAAGGACGCGACCCAGCAAACCTCACTTTTCTTAAACCCTTCCAGGCGTGCTATGGTGGCCACCCACGAGCTCCAAAACGCGAGCGCCAAAGCCGAGGAGCAGAACCAGTCCCAGGTGGGGGGGGCACGTGGCTGTTGCCACAACTAACATAAGGGTCGGGGTAGTTAGTAATAGTATGGGGGGTTTAAGTGTCAGAACCCCCCAAAACTCTATTCTAACTATTAAGGCTCCTACACGTCGCAGAGATCGTCGCGCTGCCCGACTGGCAACCTATTTCAGCACCGGGCAATGGCCGAAGCAGGACACTAATAGAAACAGAGTTAAGCTCATTCCACCTCGAACATTCATTACTCTGCACCTTGCATCGAAACCCTAGACCCTCAAGAAAAACCATAAACGCTATTTCCTAAACAACAACTGACAAAAACACGTTTCAAATGGCAAGGAGCCTTCAAATCTCTACATGCCAAGCTCCCATGCGGATCCTGAGAGGACTATGGAGGCACACTTGGGTTGATGGCGGTTGAGTCTAAAGTCTAACCTCTAAACCTGAAACCCTCACCCCTAAACCCTAAAGCAAAAACACGTTTCGAATGGCAAGGTTCCTTCACAGCCGTACATGCCAAGCGCCGAGGGAGATGCTGAGCAGATGATCGAGGCACTCTTGGGTTGATGGCGGTTGAGTCTAAACCCTAAAGCCTACCGTCTAAACCCTAAACCCTAAACTCCAAGCCCTAAACAAAAACATACATTTTGAATGGCAAGGTGCCGTCCAGGCCCTACACGCCAAGCGTCCATGGGGATACTGAGCGGACTCTGGAGGCATCCTTGGTTTGATTTCGGTTGAGTCTACACCCTAAACCCTAAACCCTAAACAAAAACACATTTCGAATGGCAAGGTGCCGTCCGAGCCCTACACACCAAGCGATCATGGAGATTATGAGCTAGCTATGGAGGCTCTCTTGGCTTGATTTCGGCTAAGTCTAAAACCTTAATCCTAAACCCCAAGCTGTACACCCTAAGCCTTAAACCCTAAACAAAAACTAAACAAAAACACGCTTCGAATGGCAAGGTGCCATCCAAGCCATACACGCCAAGTGCCCATGGGGATTCTGAGCCAACTATGGACTAGGGTTCGGACCCTACCCCTGACGGCCAATCATCTCCGGATTTAATTTGTTTTAGCTCTTGCCTCCCTTGTTTTCCGTCATGTTTCCAGCATGTTTAGGGTTCAGGATTTTAGGCTTCGAGTTTAGGTCTCAAAGATGATTTCCTCACAGACTGTACGAAGGACTTGAAACGAGAGAAGGGTTTAGGGTTTAAGGATTTTATATTTGAGTTTAGCAAGGGTTTAGGGTTTAGGGATTCAGGGTTTTATATTTGGTTTTAAAAGGGTTTAGGGTCTAGGGTTCAAGATTTGAGTTTAGCAAGGGTTTAGGGTTTAGGGTTTAAGGGTTTTATGTTTGGGTTTAGAAGGGTTTAGGGTCAAGGGCTTAAGGTTTAAGGGTTTTATATTTGGGATTGGAAGGGTTTAGGGTTTAGGATTCAGGGTTTAAGGGTTTTATATTTCGGCTTAGAGAGCCTGAACCCTCGACCCTAAACCTTTGACATTTTAGGGTTTAGGGTTTAGGGTTTAGGGTTTAGGGTTTAGGGTTTAGGGTTTAGGGTTTAGGGTTTAGGGTTTAGGGTTTAGGGGTTCAGGTTTAGGGAGGTCTGCCTTTGAAACCCTCATCCCGAAACCCGTCTAAACCCAAATATAAAACCCTGAAACCCTAAACCCTAAACCCTAAACCCTAAACCCTTCTAAACCCCGCAAACCCTTCAAAGCCCAAATATCAAAGCCTTAACCCCTAAACCCTGAACCCCTCTAAACCCAAATACAAAGCCCTGAAACCTTGAATCCTAAACCCTAAACCCTTCCAATCCCAGATATAAAACCCTTAAACCTTAAACCCTAGACAGGTGAAACACGCCATGGCAACGCCTGCCGAGCGGTTGGGCGCAAGCTGCAAGGCGAAACCTCGCCCGTCAAGGACCCTGGTCTATTCTAGGCTTCCTAACCCCAAACTTGGGGCGGGGCTCTGCCATCATTTGGAAGTCTTCACTATGACATTATTGCCGGCTGTAGGGGGGCTTGTAATAGAAACTGTAACGGAAAGGAGCGGAGCTGAAGCGGATTTGTCGAGAAGCTGTAACGGAGCCGTATCGGAAGGTTGCAACGGAGCACGACCGGCTCTAGCGATGCTGTAACGGAAACTGTAACGGAGTCGTAGCATAAGCACCAACTGGAAAACGAACCCGTCACGGAATTGTGACGGACCTGTATATAACTGAGCTTTAACGGAAGAAGTAACGGAGCTGTGCATATTTGCAAAGGATCTGCAACGGAGCTGTAACGGAAGCTGCAATGGAGCTGTACCGGAGGTCTAATGGAAGCGGCAACGGATCTCTAACGCAGCTGTAACGGAGGCGCAACGGAGCTGTAACGGAGCTGGGCCTGAGTTGTAACGGAAGCTCGGACATAGCTGTAACGGAGGTGCCTCGAGCTGTAACGGAGCTGTGACAGATGCTGTAACGGAGCTGTAACGGAGGGCGCACGGTGGGGTAGCGCAGATCCCATATTAAGTGATGGTAGAGCCCACCCCTAACCCCAAACTCTAAATCCTGAACCACGAATCCTAAACCCTAAACCCTAAGCCTTAAACCCCTAACCCGATATCTGTGAGGCCCTTAACCATCAAGCCCTCCACCACACTTGTGAAAGAGGGTCCGCCAAGGAGGACTTTTCAGAGCGTCTTCGAAGAAGCAACGTCCCGGATGAAGCAGCTGGAGGCTGCTTCTAAATCCTATAAACTTCCGATATATTTGGGTTTGGACGGGTTTAGGGTTTAGGGTTGAAGGGTTTTATATCTGGGTTTAGAAGGGTTTAGGGTTTAAGGGTTTTATGTTTGGGTTTAGAAGGGTTTTGGGTTTAGGGTTTAAGGGCTTTATATTTGGGTTTAGAGGGGTTTAGGGTTTAGGGTTGAAGATTAAGGGTTCCATATTTGGGTTCAGAAGGGTTTCGGGTTTAACCTGCGGGCCAAGCCTTTCAAACTAAACCTTCAAAGGCCTAACCTGTCTAAGAACCGTAAAACCCGAAAGGCCATAAAATCCCTAAATCCTAAAGCCTCAACACAAAAAAGACATCGACATCGTATGTGATGTCCTTCTGAATTTACAACTCTCTCTCTCTCTCTCTCGCCATGGGCTCATCAAGGCAAAAAACCTTGAGAAGCTGGAGAAGCTTGATCCTTGGGGCCAAGAGCCCGAGCGCAAGCTCGATGATGTTCGTGCCTCTTGTCTCGAATCCCTAAACCCTAAATCCCAAACCCTAAACCCTAAACCCTAAACCCTAAGCCCTGTCTGGGTTTTTGAAGGTGTCGGGACCCCCGAAGCTGTGGGATGCTGTCCTAAAGCTCGAAGGAGTGGTGTTTGAGGATTTCTTCGGGCGGTGTTTACTCTTCCCGTTCAATGCCCCAAACCCTGCGCTCTAAGCAGACCAAAACTTCCATACACGCTAAGGGGAATGCAAAGCGTGCGAAGCTGGAGAAGCAGGACTCAAAAGGGTATTAGCAACCCTAGACCCTAAACCCTAAGCCAAAGCCACTGATAGCCGAAGGAGCCGCAAAATGGAACATGCTTGAACACTACACTATATGGGGTTCAGGGTTTAGGGTTTCATGTTTAGGCCCTAAACCTAGAGACTAAACTCATCCTGCAGACTCTGCGTTTCAAGTCTGCTAGATCCTGGGGGCCAGGATCCGACAAGCCTGGCCGATGTCGAGCGCAAGCTCGATGATGTTCGTGCCTCTTGCCTCTAAGCCCTAAACCCTAAACCCTAAACCTTAAACCCTGCGTGGGTTTTTGAAATTGTCGGAGCCCCCTAAGGTGAGGAAGTGGTGTTCGAGGATTTCTTCGGGTCCAAAGATCAAGCTGGTAGGGCGTAGGGCTTAGGCTTTAGGCTTTCGGGGTTTACTCTTCCTCTGCTTCACGACCCCAAACCCTGCGCCCTAAACAGAACAATCTTTCACTCAAGCCACGGGCAAGGCAAAGAGTGCGAAGATGAAGAAGCAGGACTGCAAAGGGTCTTAGTAACCCTAAACCCTAAACCCCAAACCCGAAACCTCTGATAGCCACAGAAACTACAAAATGCACCGTCCCTGAACCTGAAAGTATATGGGGTGTAGGGTTTAGGGTTCGAGGTTCAGGCCCTAAGCCTTAAACCCTAAATGGGACCCTAAACTAACCTCTCGAATTGCTGTAGACTCCGGGGGGCTTGAAGTCTGCTAGATCCAGCCGCCCATCTATAAACTGTCAACCCTAAACCGTAAACCCTAAACCCTGAACTAAACCCTAGACTCAGAGTCAGCCTGAGGGCCAGGAGGGCCCAGATTCTAAAGACCTCGGGCTAAAACCCTAAACCCTATCCCGAAGCCTAACACCCTAGACCCGAAACCCAGACTCACGCACGCAGACTGTGAAGGAGCCGCTGGCGAAGAAGCACAAGATCCCTGCGGAGCCGCCACACCCACCGCCAGGCTGGCAGGCCAGCACGGAGTGATTGCTGGGTATCCTAAAATCCAAGGCAAGAAAGCAAATATATTGTTTTAAGGTTCTAAGGGATTAAGAGAGAGAGAGTACCTCTATTTTCGGAACCCTATAAACCCTAGTAAACCCTGAACCCTGAACCCTAAACCCTAAACCCTAAACCCTAAACCCTTTGTGTTTGTTCATGGCCGAATTTCGGAAACAGACTAATGCAGTAAAGGGCTTGCCTCGCAACAGCCTACTAAGACAATAGGTTTATGGGTGTTCAGGGTTTAGGGTTTAGGGTTAGGGTTTAGGATTTCGAGTTTAGGGTTTAGGGTTTAGGGTTGAAGATGACTACCCAGAAGCAGCCAAATACAAGGAGAAAGAGGATGCGATCGCCAACAACTACCGCATCGCAGCTAAGTGGAGGAACAAGGAGCAAGCGGGGCTTGCATGAATCCCAAACCCTAAACCGTAGACCCTAAACCCTAAACCTTAAACCCTAAACCCTAAACACTAAACCCTAAACCCTAAACCCTAAACCCTAAACCCTAAACCCTAAACCGTAAACCCTAAACCCTACCCTAAATGGAGGGTCCAGGGCCTAAGGGCTTGAATCGCACATAAGCCACTGACTCGAAGTTTAAGGTCAGGGATCAGAGGTGGGGTATACAGGGGGCCGCAAACACCCTGAGGCGAATGCAAAAGGACTTAAAAGGGATCAGAAGTGGGGGATAAAGGAGGTCCATATGGATGCAACTTAACGACTTTGTGCACTGGGGGAGGACGATGACGAGGATTGGCTGCTGGACTGACGGCTTTGCAGACTTCAAACCCTAAACCTTATTCCGAAACCCTTAAGGCCTAGAACCAATACGCCAGACCTGAAAGTGGAAGCGCCACTTTTCTCCGACGACAGCCCATGCACTGGGCGCAAAAGACTCATGATGAGAAGCAAGTTCGGATCTTGACCGCCGTGGAAAAGCTTGCGGACACCCATTATCCTGCAGTTTTCCAGCGGGGCCCAAGTATTTGGTTTTGACCTTGTCGCCATGGCGCCCGGAAGAAAGCAGCGCCGTGCAGAGCGCTTGCAGTCCTGGAACGAGGTTGCCCAAGTTTAAACATTGTCGTGGCCTTCTCACAAACGGTCAAACCTTTACCGATTCTTCCCAAAACCGCATAGTCTAAGTACAGTAAGAAGAAAACCATGGACCCGCCAACCCAGAGATCCAACACTATGATCATTCTCCGGCCAGGGCCGCTGGTATGTGCAGCAGTCGTGGAAGCGCTCGGGGCGTGAGGACTGGCGCAGCAATGGCACCTCTTCGTCTTCTCAATGGGAATACAGTTCCTCCAACGGCAATCGCTCCATGGACTACAGCTCCTCGAACGGCAGTCGCTCCATGGACTACAGCTCCTCGAACGGCAGTCGCTCCATGGACTACAGCTCCTCGAACGGCAGTCGCTCCATGGACTACAGCTCCTCGAACGGCAGTCGCTCCATGGACTACAGCTCCTCGAACGGCAGTCGCCCCTTGGACTACAGCTCCTCGAACGGCAGTCGCTCCTTGGACCACAGCTCCTCGAACGGCAGTCGCCCTGTTGAGTACAGCTCCTCCAACGGCGTGTCCTCCTTTTCCACTAGCACTTTGGAAAGCCAGTTGGCCCGCGACGCCTGTCGTACTTTTCTCAAGTTTTGGGATCTTCGGGGATGAAAAAATAGCAAGAGTAGAGAGTTTTCTTGAGATGTATTAGGTTCAAAGTTATTTGTTTGGCAAAGAAAGATTTTTTTCAATATATAAGGCTAAAGTTATTTTGGCATGTTCTTTCAGGAGTTCGAGACGCACAAGACGCTGCTGCTTTCGCAGGGGCCCGGAGACAAGTGGCACCGCGTCCAAAGCAGCATCTTGAAAGCATCAGATTTGAGGGCCATTTGCGCTATATCCGAGAAGATAGGTTTCTCCCCCCTCCCTCCCACGTTGGTTTTTGCAGCTCTGCAACGATTCAGGGTTCAGGGTTTCGGGGCCCTAAACAAAACCAACCAAACCATTCCAAACCTACCCCTAGTGTTTGCCATAGCCCCTGTAGAACTTGAATGAAGCCCAGGACGTGATGACACCCTGTACTACTGGTACAATAGTGCGACGGGTGTGTCCGTGAGATTCTAGAATTTTTGGAAGGCTTGGAGCCCATTGGCCATCCTGGCCCAGCTCGCACCACACACGCTCTGCGACAAACATCTTATATTCGGGTTTTTGAAGGGTTTAGGGCTTAGGGTTTTGTGTTCGGGTTTAGAAAGGTTTAGGGTTCAGGATTTAAGGGTTTTATATTTGGGTTTAGAAGGGTTTAGGGTTTAAGGTTTAAGGGTTTTTTAGTTGGGTTTAGAAGGGTTTCGGGTTTAAGGTTTAGTTTTTTTTTATAGTTGGGTTTGGAAGGGCTTTGGGATTAGGGTTTAAGGGTTTTGAAGGGGTTTGGGTTTAGGGTTTAGGGTTTAAGGGTTTAATAATTGGGTTTACTGTAAAGGGTTTAAAGGGTTTTGGGTTTAATGTTTTTTTGAGTTTACAAGGGTTCAGGGTTTAAGGTTTCAGGTTTTATATTTGGGTTTAGAAGGGCTTACGGTTTAGGTCCACACTGAAAAGAGCTGGTCCCGGCCCGGCCGTAAGGGCCATCAACTTCGGGTCCAGATGAAAAAAAGCTGGTCCCGGCGCGGCCGTAAGGCCCAAGTTTGTTTCGGATCCAGACGAAAAGAGCTGGTCCCGGTGCGGCCGTAAGGGCCAAGTTTGTCGGTCCAGACGAAAAGAGCTGGTCCCGGCGCGGCACCTGAACCTTACGCCAAGCTGACGACAGTGAGGAAAAGCCTCATAATTCTGAATAAATTTAATGTGGTATGTTGGTTTTGATGGAGCAACACGACAGGACCTCACATTATACCTAAAGGTCCATGGCACCTAGTCCCTAGACCCTAAACCCTAAGCAACCCTAAACCCCAGGCCGCTCAACCCCTACATCTCTTAATCCCTAAACCCTCTATCCCTAAAGCTCTAAATCCATAAATCCCTTCTCCCTCTATTTCTAAATCCCCAAACCCTAAACGCTCATCCCTAAGCCTAAACCCTAAACCCCAAACCCAAAACCCTAAACCCTAAACCCTAAACCCGAAACCCAAACCCCAAACCCCAAACCCTGACCCCTTAGACCCCTAAGCCCCAAAGACATCCTCCAGGCTTGAAACGCGCAATTCGGACAAGGCTCCTTTGGCTCTCCCCTTTCTTTTGTTTTTTTGTTGTGGGGCGGGAGGGGGGGGGGGGGTGTTTACGCAATAGGGTTTTTTGGGCTTTAGGGTTTTTAGGATTGTTAGAGCGTGCAGGGTTTTCAGGTCTTTTTCGGGTTTTGTTTAGGGTCTTTAGGGTTTTTAAAGGGCTTTTAGGGGGAAGGGTTGCCCTTTTGGGGTTTGGGATTTCGGGATTAAGTAGGGCTTCCCAAAAGATCGGGGTACCCTTCTTGAGAGTTTAGGGTTTGCTGTTTAAACCTGTTTCGGGGGGGGGGGGAGGGGGGTCCAACAATAAGGACTGCTTTTTTGGGTGGAGTGTTAAGGGTGAAGTAGTGGGAAATAGCAGTTTGGACATTTTTGTGTTGCCAGTAAGGTCACGCATTTGATCATTCTTTGCGAGTGGTTTTCCGTGTATTTATGGTGTTCGTTCTTGTGCTTGTTGCTTGTCGCTTATCGCTTTAGCAGGTCTTTGTGTTTAGCGTGTCTCTTGCTTCTTGTTGTGCCTCCGTTTGGGTCATCTCATGCTTTTCGTTTGTGACTCCTTTTTGCTGTGCAGATTTGTGTGCTTCCGTTATGCCTTTTCTCGCTCTCCCTCTCTCTCTCTCTCTGTGTCTGTCGGTCTGTGCGTCGGCCGGTCCGTGTGTCCGTGTGTCCGTGTGTCCGTGTGTCCGTGTGTCCGTGTGTCCGTGTGTCTGTGTGTCTGTGTGTCTGTGTGTCTGTGTGTCTGTGTGTCTGTGTGTCTGTGTGTCTGTTTGTCTGTGTGTCTGTGTGTCTGTGTGTCTGTGTGTCTGTGTGTCTGTGTGTCTGTGTGTCTGTGTGTCTGTGTGTCTGTGTGTCTGTGTGTCTGTGTGTCTGTGTGTCTGTGTCTGCGCGCTAGTGTGCGGGCGTATGTTGTGTTTCTATGTTTGATTCTGGTGCTGCTTCCTTTGGCTGAAGGCCGAAACCCCAAACTCTACACCCTGAAGCGCCCGTAAGGAATGCGGGCAGCGACTACGATCTGATCAGCACCCTTGCATCTTGGCTTCGTAATGTTCAGGGTCTTGGAGTCTTGGGACGGGTTGAGTTTTGGGGTGTTCCGGGTCGTGGGGCCAGGCCGTTGGGAGAACGCAGGAATGGACCGCGGGTATTCCATGTCTTGGGTCATGGCTTGGGTGCACGAGGGATGATCACCCACATGCTCGTCTTCGGAAGATATCAATGTAGGGCTCGGAATAATTACGAATAGTTTCCCTTATGGTCCCTTTATACTCATGCTAGAGTACCCCCCCCCCAAAAAAAAAATCAAAAAACAAACAAACAACAAAAAAAAAAAAAACACGTATTCTAACTATAAAGGCCCCTAAACCCTAAACCCTAAACCCTAAACCCTAAACCCTAAAACTCCACACGACCCGCCAGCTCCTGGCTCTAACCCCCCCCCCCCCACCCCGCTTCTGTGCTGGACACCTAACTGGGTTTAGGGTTTAGGGTTTAGGGTTTAGGGTTTAGGGTTTAGGGTTTAGGGTTTAGGGTTTAGGGTTTAGGGTTTAGGGTTTAGGGTTTAGGGTTTAGGGCAGTTCTCTAAATTAGGGGCCCCTTTGGGGGTCCTCTTTACAAGGTGCCGGGCTACATGGGGGCCCAAAACGCGACCCTAACTTAGAGAGCTGCCCAATTGGTTTATCACAACCCCACCATTGCAGCCTACGTTGACACTGCTGTGCGCATCTTGTCTCCGGCTTTTTAAGCAGGGTCGCCAGGCATAAGTAGGGCATCTTGGGGCGGATCGCCGGATGCTAACTAGGATGCCCTCCAGTGCCCGTATTAATCTAGGGGCTAGGCCTAAGGCCTGCGTCCTGTGAAGCGAGACCGAGGCCCTAGACCCTATAACTATAACTCTAAACATTAAAATCTTGCGCATTTGTTCAGTTCCCGTGTGCGTCCCTACGTTCCCTTACTCCGGGGAACCCGCCTGAGATGGCCTGTAGGGTTTTTGGATGAAACCCTAAACCCTAAACCCTAAACCCTAAACCCTAAACCCTAAACCCTAAACCCTAAACCCTAAACCCTAAACCCTAAACCCTAAACCCTAAACCCTAAACCCCTAACCCCTAAATCCCAAAGGTGAAGCGGGCCTTCGTGTGGAAGCGCCACGACCTCGTGAAGGACACGTAGACCCATAAACCTTAACCGCCAAAGCGTTTAGGGTTTAGTGTCTAGGGTCTAGGGTCTAGGGTCTTAGGGTTTAGGGTTTAGGGTTTAGGGTTTAGGGTTTTGGGTTTTGGGTTTTGGGTTTAGGGTTTAGGGTTTAGGGTTTAGGGTTTAGGGGAACCCCCCCCCAAGCCCCAAAACCAACGGTAAGCACCCTCAACACTGTAAACACACAGACACCCCAAACACCCCAGACACCCCAAACACCCCAGACACCCCAAACACCCCAGACACCCCAAACACCCCAAACACCCCAAACACCCCAAACACCCCAAACACCTGAAACACCCCAAACGTCCCAAACACCCCAAACACCCTGAACACCCTGAACACTCTGAACGCCGAAACACCCCAAACCCTAAACCCGTACACTCTGAACATCAACACCAAACCACCCCAAACCCTCAACCCAAACATCCAGGCCCCTCAGCCCTCAACCCTAAACCCTCAACCCTCAACGTAAACCCTACCCTCAACAGGCTCGACTTAGGAGCTTAGGCCTGGACCGAGAGCCCCAAGCAGGCGGTGTGAATCCTCGATATGCCGAATGTGATACGGTGGAGGGTTCAGGGTGTCTAGGACTTTGGCGTGCTTTAACAAGGCGTGTTAGAGGTCAGGGTTTTAGGTTTTAGGGTTTACGGTTTGGGGTTGAGGGTTTTTTTTTCGGGCTTGAGGGTTTAGGGTGTTCAGCGTTTTAGGGTTCAAGATTTTGGGGTTGAGGGTTTCTAGGGTAGGGCTTGGGGTGGAGGGACTCCCAGAATCAGAGGTGTTTGGGGCACTGCAAGACTTCAGGCTCCACAGGGTCCGCAAGGACGGTTTTGTGTGGCCCTAAACCTACATATCCCAAACCCTAAGAGCTCGTTGCTGAGGTTTGGGCCGTGTACGTGGGCCTCCTAGTTTATCACCTCGTCTTATCCAGAGACTTCAGTGTCCCTTACTTCCACGTCAGACGCCGCACCCCATGCATCCTGTGCCTAAACCCTTTCAGTGCAGAAACACCCCGAACCCCGATGTCCATAGGCCCTAAACCCTATAAACCCTAAACCCTAAACCCTAAAATCCGCAAACCCTAAACCCGAAACCCCAGAAGCCCCACAAGCCAGGAAGCCGCGGAAGGTGACGTCGAGGAGGTCGCCGCGGCTGTTCCTTCGGCTCACCCCCTACTGTAACGGTTTAGGGTTTAGGGTTTAGGGTTTAGGGTTTAGGGCTTGGGGTTTAGGGTTTAGGGTTTAGGGTTTAGGGTTTAGGGTTTAGGGTTTAGGGTTTAGGGTTACCCCCCCCCCCCCACCCCAACTCGAAATTAGGGTCCAAAGAACCCTTAGATAAGCTGTATGTAGGCGGAAACCCTCAACCCTTTCGAGCCAGAGCCCATGGTGCTGAGGTCTGGAGAAGGGACCCCAAAATTGCAGGTGGGGGGGGGAGGTCTAAGGTTTAGGGCTTAGGGTTTAGGGTTTAGGGTTTGGGGTTTAGGGTTTAGGGTTTAGGGTTTAGGGTTTAGGGCTACGGAGCCACCCCTGCCCTGAGCCTTCCGAGGTTGCAGATGCCTACGCACTCCCGGCGCTGACAAAGGCGGCAGCCGCGTGGCAGCACAAGTTGCGACAGCACAAGTACGCACACAGAGGCCCGCAACCCAGACACCCACCCACCCACCCACCCACCCACCCAACCGCCCACCCGCCCGCCCGCCCTCCCCTACCCACCCACCAACCCTACGTGCCCCGCGCACGCGCACGCGCACTCGCGCACACGAGCTCGCGCGCACGCACACGCACAACCACCCACACGCATTTAACTCTCTCTCTCTCTCTCACACACACACACGCAAAGCAAGAACCCTAAGATTGCTGAGCCCTCCTGGAATGCTGCAGACAGACCGACCTTCACGTGTGCCTTTGTGATCAGGCGCTTATTGGAGAGGGAGCTTACCTTGGGGGGCCCAAGGAACCCAAAAGGGTTTGTGGTTCATATACCTTGCCAGGGATTATAGAAAAGTATGGGGAGTGTAGAACCCTAATTTTGGGCTTCATTGGGAGAGAGCTACCGAGGGAACATGCCAGTCGGGTTCGGGCATATGAGGAGATTAGAGCACTCCGGGTGCGGTTTGGGGACTTTGACAGGAAGTACAGCTCTCTGGGCTCCAACCTTAAACCCAACACCCTAAACCCTGCACCCTGAAACCCTAAACCCTAAACCCTAAACCCTAAACCCTAAACCCTAAACCCTAAACCCTAAACCCTAAACCCTACACCCCAAGAGATGTGCAGGGGCTCCAGCTCGGCTCCTTAGGCGCAAGAGGAGCTGTTTCGGGCGCTGGTCATCGCGCAGAGCGAGAACCTGAGGCGGCCATTCCGACACCTGAGGGGTTTAGGGGTTTAGGGGTTTAGGGGTTTAGGGGTTTAGGGGTTTAGGGGTTTAGGGGTTTAGGGGTTTAGGGGTTTAGGGGTTTAGGGGTTTAGGGGTTTAGGGGTTTAGGGGTTTAGGGGTTTAGGGGTTTAGGGGTTTAGGGGTGTAGGGGTTTAGGGGTGTAGGGGTGTAGGGGTGTAGGGGTGTAGGGGTTTAGGGTTTGGGGTGGTTTAGGGGTTTAGGGGTTTAGGGGTTTAGGGGGTTTAGGTTTTAGGGGTTTAAGGGGTTTACTACAGGAGGGACCCTTATAAGGGACCTTAGGGGTTCTTTGGGGGTTCTTTGGGGGCTACTTAGTATTAGGTATGTAGGTAAGGGGTTAAGGGGTTAAGGGGTTTAAGGGGGGTGTTAAAGGGGTTAAGGGGTTA